GCCTCATCCATGATAAACATGGATCGAACCTCCGTGATTAGACTCCCAGCTTTCTCACCAGAACTGTTCTTCCTCCCATCTTCCCATCTCTGTCCATTCACCCAGTTGCTAGAAACAGGAAGAAAGCTGTGATAATTCATTTTCTCTCACCCTCCACTCTTTACCTCCTGAGAAGTGGCTTCTTCCAAGTATGTCTCAAATCCATCTCTTGATACCCACGCACTGGCCCTGGTAGAAGACACCCTCATCTCTCATTCCTGGAAGAGCCCCTAAGTAGCCCTCAGATTCCCACTCCTGGCTACCCTCCAGTGTGTCTTCACATGCCAGGCACAGTAAATGTTGCTCATGACCTATCTGCTTTAAAACACCTCAATAGCCATGAGGGCATAGACTTTTCACTCTGTTTTTTAATCGTTTTGTCTTTAGTACCTAAAATAGGGTATGGGACCTACTAGGGTGAATGGAGTAGTTGCACTTAGGATAGAAATCCCCAGGTCCACCTTGCCCTCAGTGCTCTGAATGATCCAAGCTCTCCACTCCCTAGACACATCCCCCTTGCTCTTCCCTTTACTTGTTCGTCTCCAGTCACACCATCCTGATTTTGTTTCCCTAACCTTGTGCCTTTGATTCCCTTTGCAAGGGGAGCACCTACCTGCTCCTGGAATAGCTGTGCTTTGGGTATCCACACCTCTGTTTCGACCATACGCCCAGGGGTAAGTATATCCAGAAGGGGGAGTAGATACCAGAATACATATACTGATAACAAGATAAGTACAGACCAGCCAATTACCAGTTTACTAAATAATGTAGAAGAAAAAGCTTCCCAGAATGTTGGCACTCTCTATCAAAGATAACCCCTTGGGTTGCAATAAAGGGAAAAATATGAGCAAAAGCACAGGATTAAGGTGCGAGCAACCCAATTGGTACCATTGCTATCCAGTGGGTCAGTTAACCAAATGAGTTATTGGAGAACTCTTATATGAACTAGACATAAACTATCCCAGGGCAGGGGTCTTACTGGCTTCGTTGTCCATTGTTGCATCCTTAGAGCCTAGGCCAGAGCTTAGCACATAATAAAGAGAGAAGGAAAATTAATTCAAAAAATGAGTGAATGAAATTAGAGCAAAGAGAATTGATTCGAACACTCTTAAGAGATATGTCATGCTATTGTCGTGGTTCAGTAGAAGATGGTGAACCTTGAATATGAAGGACTTTACCTGTTTTAGACTAATAATTTTTCTGGAGTTAATATATTTTTACTTTAAAAAAACCCACAATGATTAAAAAACATTAATTTTTATTTTTATTTTTTTAAAGATTTTATTTATTTATTTGAGAGCAAGAATGAGATAGAGAGAGAGAGCATGAAAGGGGGGAGGGTCCGAGGGAGAAGCAGACTCCCTGCTGAGCAGGGAGCCCGATGCAGGACTCGATCCCGGGACTCCAGGATCATGACCTGAGCCGAAGGCAGTCGCCTAACCAACTGAGCCACCCAGGCGCCCAAAAAACATTAATTTTTTAAAAGTAGTTCAGCAAGTAATGTAGGACATGAATGATAATAACAAAGTAATGAGTTTTGAAAGCATAAAAGTCCTGGGCCACCTGGGTGGCTCAGTCGGTTAAGCATCCAACTCTTGATTTCGGCTCAGGTCATGATCTCAGGGTCATGAGATCGAACCCCTGTGGAACCTGCTTAGGATTCTCTCTCTCCCTGTCCCTCCGCCCCAACCCCTCCACTTGCACTCTCTCCCTCTCTAAAATAATAATAATAATAATAATAATAAAAGTATATAAGTCCTTACAGTGATATAGTTATGTCATGTGAAAGTAATTGAAATTTTTAAATATCTCTTATTTTGCCTTGAAAGAAAACACCTAGGTTTACCTGAAAATAGAGGGGAAAATCTTACCCAGTTTCCTAAACATTTCAGCTAATATATCAAATTTTGCATAGAAAACTAAAATTTGCAGTGCATATTCAGTCTTTGAAAACCGACCTTTTAAAATATTGTACAGCGATAAAATATTTAAATTGTTCACTTAACAGGGAAACTCATTTATCCGCTGAAGCAAAATATCTTATTACCAGGATTTGTTATAACATAGTTACAAAATGAAGGAAGGGCTCTTGTGCAAGAACTCTTTGAAAACCTCTTTCAGTAACTTCCTCTTGTTCTTGCAATGCATTGCTTTTTTTCTTTTTTATTGTCCCTCCTGTGTACTAGAAAATCACCTTTGTTCCATGACACACATGCGGTTTCACACTACAGATTATTCTTTGGCAGTCTAATTTTGAACCGATTCATTCACCCTACATCTCTCCATTCACACCCTGTAGACTGGGCCCTTGTCACCACAGCTGATGAGCACTTTATCTTTTTCAGATCAGAAAGTGTCTGATGTCAAGTTCTATGTAATTAGAACCCTGAGCATTTAGATGAAGAAATGCTTTATAGCTGTACATGTTTATGAGACATCCACCTCTCCACGTTGAAATGTAACAGATGCTTCTTCAGTCCCCAACTGTTTTTTCAAATGACAAATTCTTCCTCCAGTATATTTCTTGTCCCCAACCAGAGCATTTTTTGTAGTGATCTCAGCTTTTGGCAGTGACATTGGAGGTGAACAGGGTACAGAATTCCTGCCATGGAAAAATGGTAACTCAGCACATTCTACCGAAATGCCTTTTAACTCCTGTTTCCAAGCAATTCCAGGTTATATTCTGCCTTTTCAAGAGCGAGTTTATTTGAGACTGTAAAATTATTGGAGATTTCCTTTTCAGTGGCTGAGGTTGGCAGCTGAGAGTGGAATTGTAACATTAATATTGAAAGGCAGAATCTCTAAATCTCACTTAGAATGCATTTCTCATCCCTCTGGGTGAGACTCGATGGGACTTTTCAGCTCATGATGAATCAGGGTGATCTCAGCACTGTGGAGCTTTGAGCCACAATCCCCATTCTGCTTCTTGTCTATTGAACGAAGGCAGTAACACCTATCTCACGGGGGTGGCGTTAATACGAATGTCATGTACGGAGCACCGAGGCTGCCCCATGTCATTCCTCATGAAGTTTAAGTGAGTCTCTCCCTGACCTAAACTAGAAGAGTAGTTATGGGCAGGTGAGAGTTCTAGGTTACAATCTTATGATTTGTTTCTGAGTGAGGAAGAATTGAGGGTGGCAAGAACAGGGCAGTAATCTGTTTAAAGAAACAGACCAGTGTAGAAATCACCTGACCGATTTGACTTTTAATGATGTTAAAAGCCCTCTTGATTCTATAATATCCAACCAGATTCCCCTTCTTTCCTTCCTCCAGATGGGCTGCCAGTTTCTCTGGGTAATCTAAGACAGCATTTCTGATATATTAAAACTCTGAAGATACTTGGAAGCCTGTTCTCCAAAGCTGGTACCTTCACAAGGTCTGGCTGCCCTAACAGTATTTTTTTAGTTCTAGCCTGGGAGATAAAGAGGGACAGGCTCCAGACTTAGAACCCTGCCTTTGGGGACATTCTCTGACCACTACTAAGATGTTCCCTCCTTGGGGCACTGGCCTACATCAACTATCTTGAGGCTTGGCTTTTCACCCTCGGTGGTGTATGATACAGGACTAAAGTTCTTAATTTTCTCTTGGCCCAGTTCATCATTAAAAATGTCCAAGTGCCTAGAAATGAATTTAACCAAATATTGTGTGTGTCGGGACGCCTGGGTGGCTCAGTTGGCTAAGCGGCTGCCTTCGGCTCGGGTCATGATCCCAGTGCCCGAGGATCGAGTCCCGCATCGGGCTCCTTGCTCAGCAGGGAGCCTGCTTCTCCCTCTGCCTGCAGCTCCCCCTGCTTGTGCTCTCGCTCACTCTCTCGCACCCACGCTCTAACAAATAAATAAATAAAATCTTTAAAAAAAAATATTGTGTGCGTCTATGTGTCCTGTTAGGAAATCACAAGTTCACGAACATATATTTGTATATGACCTTCTAAAAATTTTATTGTTTTGCTCTCATAGTTTAAGTCCAGCTGGTATTAATATTTGTTTAGGTTCAAGGCAGGAATCAACTTGAACTGTTTTCCATGTACATTCCCAAATATCCCAGAACAACTGATTGAAAATTTTCTCCCTTCACTCTCAACTTTGAAGTGCCACGTTCATTATAGCTATGATGACCATATGACTTATTATCCAAATTGATTCAATTTTCAGAGTAAAAGAGGGCATTGATATTAATTAGAATAAGTCTCAATTCAGTGAAGTATGTCTTCTCACCTGGTTCTTCTGCAAGACTGTCTCAGATATTCTTGGTCATTTACATTGTTGTATAAATACTAGAACCACTTACCATGTTCCACCAAAAATATTTGTAGTTTATATCTGTTTCTATGGTATTTGTACTATATATCCTTTCCAGTCTTTTCCTTTCAAACTCTATTTTTATGTTATAGACATATTTCCTGTAAATACCAGATAGTATTTTGCCAATCTAGCCTAACCATCTTTGTCTTTTAACTGGCACTGTTAGCCAATTTGCATTTTAGGTAGTTACTTAGATATTCGGAGTTTAATATACCATCTTGGTTATTTGTCACGCCTGCTTTGTGTACCTTTCCCCTTTCTTCTTTCCTCTTTTTGGATTGATTATTTTTTGGTATTCCCTTTTTCTCTTTGGTTTATTTTCAAAGTTATAAATCCTTCCACTCTTCTTCTAGGGTTACCTTAGACTATACAACATGCACCCTTGCTTATCAGAATAGAATGTAATTGTAATTGTACTTTCCTTCTCTTCCCAGACAAGGCAAGGACTTTAGAGTTTTTACCCTATTTCCTTCCAGAAGAAGAAAAGAAGGAAGAAAAGCTTTCCCACAACAGATTTGCCAAAATGTTGTTTTTATTCTGAGGACTATCTTGCTCTCATCACAGACATCAGTACTCTCAGGCCAAGAACTACCTGTTTTATTCTTGGCTTGTCTAAGATCCAAGAGAACAGGAAGAGAACTGAGACCAGTATATGGCTTGTAGAATCTTAGGAAAATTTACTAACCAGCCCACTAGTTTTGTGGGAACAAGAAAATGCAGCATTTCAAGCCTCATTCCAAGGAGTACACGTATATTAATCAGAGTCCACCCCCCACCTCCCGCCACAGCACTGCATAAAGCCATCCATTGCCACAAAAACCTGTATCACATGATGGAAGTCAAGAACCTTCATCAGAAAACATGCAAGAAGATGGTTAACAAGCGAGATCTTGGCACCCCCCTCTTTGCTTAACAGTCTCTCCCACTACATTATTCTTTCTGTCATCTCTTGGCATCTTTTATTATAAGACACCTACTTCTTGACCCCAGGTGATCCCACACAAACGCCACATCAGGTAGGATAAAGGAGAACAAAAAGGGGAAGGCAGGCTATCACCATATGGCTCTTCAACAGTTTGAAAGAATAAGAACAACCAAAAATACTGATCTTGTAGAATAAGGGATGAGAAATATTGGCCAAGGCAAGTTTGTCTTCACAACCCAGGCCCTTAATTGAGGCTCTATATTTCAATTGAATATCCGTTTTTAAGCCTCCCTTCTATAATCATATCTATTTGGGCTTCCAAAATTTTATCTGTAAAATAAATTACAGAATTATCATGTTTCCTTTGGCTATCAGGAGAGCATAGCTACTTCATACACTACTATGTTGTCAAGAATCTACACATCTGATTTCTTGGGTTTTTTTTTTTTTTGACTTGCATTCAAAAGTAAATCACTGGACTTAGTCAATATAAAAAAAAATAGGAAAATAGATACCTGTGCCAAAGATCATGGGTGTATGTAAACAGTAAAGAGCTGAACTTACAAGGGAAATTAAAGATCTGCTTAGGGATGGTAGTGGTATTGGCAAAGATGTGTGAAAACTGTCACCATTAAAAGTGCAGGTAATAAAGCTCTAAGCTTGACCTTGTATTTCCAGTCTCTAAGGGGAAGAAAACCTGCCCAAGAACAGGATGTTAGATGAGGGATTGTGCCGAATGAAGAAAATGAATGGATGGTCGGCAACAAAGTTCTCCTCGTGCACCAACATGGTGAAGGTGGCAATACCTGCAGTGGCAGCCGCCGCCTCTGTGCCCTCTTCATTCACTTCCACAAAGGACTTGTGGACAATTTTTGATATGAAAAGATCCCTGGCTCCTGACATGCCAGACAGATCAGCCTTGCGACTAAAGAGATCCTGTACACCCAGGTGGGCCAGGTGGGAGTTGAGGTCGTAGCTTTCCTCCAGCTTGAACTTGGGCAAGTGGACGTTGACTTCAATGTGATCCAGATTCTCAGCTTTGGTCCACTCATGCAGTTTTTCCAGAGTCAACTGTTCCTCAATCTGGAATGCCAATGGGCAAAAAGAAGAGGTGAAAACAATTTTACGTAAGTAAACTAAAAAGGATTATTGAAATGAATGGACCCATTATATCAGTTGCTAATTAGTCTCCTCTGTGTCTTGTGCCAAAAAGGTTCCATTTGGAAGATGTCATTTCTTTCCAGTGATTGGTGATAATATAACAGAGCTGTGTTCCAGGCCATCAAGGGCCCAAGTGCAGGGACTCTGGACACTGGGTCCATGAAGTATCCATCCTCCCCCCTACCATACACTCATCCACCCACCGATCCATCTTCCCAGGACTTACTAAGCCCCTACCACACCAGCTTACTGTGATAGGCCATGATGACTGTATTACCTAATTAGTCAAGGGGTACAAGGGAGAATTTGAAAGCTTTCTTCCTTTTATTATGAACCCCACTGATCACAGTGGTTATCTGTGAACCTCACAGAGCAGAAGAAATCTCTAGTAGACTTAGCTCCTAGGTAAAAATAGAACAAAGACCTCGTACCTCATTAAAAAGGGAGTAATATGAGTACCCACCTTATCGCACTGTGTATTAACTTAGTCGACATATATAAAGCGCTGGGCACACAGTAGGTGCTACATAAATAGCAGCTGTTCTCATTGCTCTTACCATTACTGCTGTCGGACTAGAGCAGAACCATTACCCACTTGCTCTACTGATGCTGAGTTTCCTTTTCAGGAGGCTACAGACTTTCTTTTTATAATCAGAGAAAGAGACAAAGAGAAGGAACACACTGATTCTAATACATACTCTATACATGGAAATGGCTAATATCAGACCCCTTCCTGAAAGCAAGTTTGATCAGGGACAGGGTAGAGAAAAAACACTCAGCAGCCTAGAGACAATGAAGAAAAACCACAATCATTTTTTAAAGATTTTATTTATTTACTTAGAGGGTTGGGGTGGAGGGGGAGAGAGAGAATCTCAAGCAGACTCCATACTGAGCGGAGAGCCTGACGCAGGGCTCAATCTCACAACCCTGAGATCATGACCTGAGCTGAAACCAAGAGTCAGATGCTTAACCGACTGAGCCACTTGGGCACACTGACAAATCATAATCTTCATGGTTTTCCCTAGTCTGAGCCCTGGCAAGAGATGACATAGCCCTTAAATGACACAGACTAGGAACCTCATACAAGGCTCATGTTAGGAGACAGCCTGAGCGCTCAAGCCAACATGTCACATGAGTCTTTTTCTATTTTGTAACTATTGGAAATTTAATTCACAACCTATATGAATTGCAGCAAGGATGAGCAATGTAATAGGGTTTTATAGTACACGATGAAACTCAGATATTATAATGTTTTGGGATTTTTAATTTAAAAAAATTTGTTTTAATAAAATAGTCTTCATTTTATTGCACTTTCCCCTAAAGTTCTTCTAAGAGAGTTTCCATGAGCTGCCACTGACCCATGTTACATGTAGCACACATCTTTAGATGTTCTCTACCACACCTGTTCCCTGACAGTAGCTGAAAATGTAAACTTAGGGCTTTGGAGTAGTAATGTCCATGAGCTACTTGACAAAAAAATGACAGAGCATTGGAAAGGAAAGTAACATCCATAAACACATACAAAGTACTGACCACTAGCACCACCAACCACTACCACACAAGGCAGAATGGGTACAGCAGGAGAAGACATGAAGTGCGAAGCTGGGAGCTGTTACCTTCTTGAGACCCGTGGACTCATCCTCAATGTCATCCGGCAGGAGGATAATCATGCTGAGCTCCTTGCCCCGGTAAGGCAGTTCCAGCACACGGCACTTAAGGTCCTGGATGTAGCCAAATGGGAATTTCTTCTTCTGATACATCATTTTCACGGTTTTTTTGTTTTTCTGAACAGTTGAATAAAAAAAAAAATCACATTTTTATCTGCATTCTCTTCGAGTGAAGAGTAAGTTTAGGCATTTACCTCACCTTACCTTATTCAACCGGAATGGTGTATCGGCAGTGGCTTCCTTTATGAACTCATCCTCCCAGCTGCCTTTGAAATAGATGGCATTCACCAGCACGAGTTTAGTCATGCTGTCAACCGTACCTGTGGCCAACAGTTCCGGAATTTTCCCTAAAATGATAAAGTTAGCTTTTTTAAAAATCCACATATCAAAAAAAATAAAAAATAAAAAAATAAAAATAAAAATCCACATATCAGAATTCCAAATTGGAACTGACATTTGATTAGCACTGAAATGCAATCCAAAAGCATATTCTGTACTTAATTTTCCTTTCACATAGTATTAAGTTAGGAAAGCCCTATCAGCGCGTTTCTACTTTAAATAATCCAAGTAAAGGGCAAGGGGCTAAAACAGGAAATTTCTCCTTTTCTGGAGTGTATGGTAAACAGTGAGCTTTATTTTGTGAATGACCATTCTTTTTCAGGAAAAAAAATATCCTGTAAAAATACAAAATATTTTTAGTCACTAGTAAATCACTTTTTCAAATCCTCTAAGTAGAAGCCTACTCTCACACACACACACAAAAATTAGTAAATATGCAAAAGGTAGGACACGTACTCCCCTGAAACACGGGATCCACCCTTGACCAGAACATGGCCATGAACAATTCTTTGTAGGGAAGACAGGTGTTCTGCAGGTGCCCTGACTCCTCCCACGACTAGGTTAGAGACAGGTGTGCTCAACAGTCCCAGCTACCATCCCTGATTGCTTAGATGAGAAGTGGACAAAAATTATTTATGACTACAGCGATTCATGAGTATTCATTCACAAGTATTAGGGTATTTCTTTCCATGAACATGTGAAATAATCGGGGCCAGGCTGGATTTCCCTCAAATTTCTTATTCCTTTTATTCTACATTCAAGGTGAGCTTTCATTTTACAATGTAGTTTTGGGAACTTATGGGGGGAAATATATTTAGCTGCTTCAGTTAAATCATGCTGATGTTTCCTCTGTGAAGAATTTCTACATGTGAACACTGTCCAACTGGACGGTGCAGAGTTCATTCCCAGGGTGAACTCCAGGATTCCCAGGGTCAGGATGAGGAAACAGGAAAAAGGGGAAGGCAATCAGATGCAGGTGGGGAACCCGGCAGGAGAACATCAGTGTGTAATAATTACTTTCCACCTGGTCTCTTACCTTCCGTCTGCCCTTTGACCCACTCATTAATCACCTTCCTCGCATCTTCAGAGGCTTGCTGAAAATCCACACTGGCCAGTTCAGCACCATACATTTTCTGAGTTGAAGCTAGGAACTCCTGTTTAAAAAAAAGGGGGGGGGGGAATGTCATGAATAACTCCTATTACATACAGAGATAGTTTCTTTAAAGCAGAAATGGTCCTAAAAGGTACAAATTGCACGATAACAAAAAAATTCTAACTTTATACTTTTTTATTATGGTAAAAAAGCCATATAACATTAAATTTACCATCCTAACCATTTTTTAATGTATAGTTCAGTAGTTTAGGTGTAAAATTTACCAATTCTTTTCCAACGTTTGGCTAACATTTTCATAAATAAGCAAATACTGATTGTACTTGGAAATGAACTATGGAATTCAGTCTTGCTTTAGTAAAACAGCCAGGATCAATCTTTTCACTGTGAAGACTATAAAATGAAGCCACGTCAATTAATGGGAGTCCTGTCTGTCTTATGTTTTCATTCTGTAATATTTTTCTGAATTCTTATAAAAATTAAAACTGATTTCTATGACTTGGTTATGCTAGAAAAAAAATCTGCGCTGTCTAGTGAGTTTTTGAACAGGAAGTGCAAAGTACTTACAGGGAGGAAATCATACGTCTTCTCTCCATATAACCTATTAGCAAGTTTCAGGATATAGGAAGCTCCACGTTTGTTGATATCAGCATTCAGACTCTGAAATCTTGAATGAATCTCCTCAACCGTATCAAAATGAAGAGTCTAAAATAAAGAAAACATTCTTTCTATAACCACTTATTTTGAAATTATAAGGTGATTCCTTGGCATTGGCTTCCATCAAATTAAGCTAATGTGGTTTTTTTTTTACCGATTATTCATGATCCGTAGCCCAATATTTTATTAATTTCTCATAGGTGAACAAATAATAGAGAATCCAAAATGTGTAGCTTTGTGAGACACAATAATTACAACATTAGGAACTGCTTTTACACCACTTCTTGTTATAATTCTAGTTCTACAATATGAGTGGTTAATAAACTAAATGTTTATACAAGTCTGCTTTTGTCCCAAAGAAAATCATAAATGGTATGTTCGTGTGCTTATCTTGCATCTAAGATAATTTCACTGAAAGTTCTCAGAAATAAACAGTAAAAATAAGAATCATGACCTACGCAGGAACACAAAGATATTACAGGTAGAGGGATTTTTTATTATACTATTAGCATCAGTAACTCGCTTATTTAAAAATAACTTCTTTAAAGTTAACATTTGGCAAAAGTTTAATTCCTCATGTATCAGTTACAAACCAAGAGTCCCTTTATGGTTTTATGAGGCCTGGGCTGGTTCTTTGCTTGTAAGACACAAAAAACAAACCTATACAGTGTACAAAGTTCAGTTACTCACCAAGATATGGAATGTTTGCATAGTTGCCATGATTGATCTGCTTCAATGGAAACAGGGGTGGGGGAGGACCTTAAAACTATTCTTTGCTGAAGGCATAAAGAAAGCCTCAAGATAGGAGCTGATAGGGGGTCCCTGAGTGGTTCAGTCAGTTAAGTGTCTGCTTTTGGCTTGGGTCTTGATCCTGAAGACCTGGGATTGAACCCTAAGTAGGGCTCCCTGTTCAGTGGGGGTCTGCTTCTCCCTCTCCCTCTTCATCTCTCCCTGCTCCTGCACGTTCTCTCTCTCTCAAATAAATAAATAAATAGAAGCTGGTATTACCCTGCAAGGAGCAACTAACAATTAGTACCAGGGGGTAAAAAAAAAAAAAAGTAAATCATAACTACCTACCTAGGCACTAAAGCAAATTCCACTAAAGTAAATGCAGTTGTCCTCATTATTGAGATTCAGTCTAATGCTTCCGGAAGTTAAGAGTCCCAAGTCTCTCTAGCTAGTGTTGGATGTGAGAGCTTAAAAACCCAACGCAGGTCCCAGGGTTAGGCCTGGGCAGCCCAACAGAGAGATTCTTGAAAATTTTAAAATGCTTTCATATCTACAATGATGAAAAGGGCTGGTTCTCCACCAAGTACAGTAATAGAAGCTCTGCACCTGGAACAGTCCATAAACTAGAATCCAAGTCTGGATCTTCCCTAGTGGCAGGTGCCATATACTTTATGACTGGTACCTTAGAGAGCCCTTCACTCTTGGTACTCCTTTTCCCTAGATTTCAAGGAAAGCCAGAGTTCTCCTCTCAGAAGTAAAGAATACCTAGCATAGAAGTGCCCTGCACCACCACCCCACCACAACCACCAAGGACAGAAGGAAGGCTGGGCATCACGCTTCTCCTCCTGCCGCCACACCCCCAAGGGCCTGGCCCCGCCCCCGCAGCGTCCGGGCTTCACCGCTCCCTCCCTGCGGGGCCCTCCCGCTCACACTGGCACGCCCTGTCACAGCCCTCACAACCACACTCAGTGCCAGGCCCAGGGCTAGGCGGGGGCAATTCGCAATCACACACCCGCTTTGTCCCCTCCAAAGGGCGCCACTGCCAACTTCTCCGCGGTGGTGCGTTTCCTATGTGTCATTATGCTCAAAAGTAGCATTCCATAGGCAGGCTTTATTTGCCAGTGGCGGGTCATCACATGCAAAGCAGATACTGGAAAATCCTCGTCCAGGAAGAGATGCTATGGCTTACAGGAAAACTGTCAAGCGACAGGCACACCGCAGGGGTTTCGTCAGCTTTCCTCACTGCCCTACCCTCAGCCACACAAAAAACTGCCTGGCACATAGCAGGTGCTCGGTAAAGACTTGATCATGAAGGAAAGCCTGCATATGAATGGATTGTTCATCGGGCTCCCTGCTTAGCCAGGAGCCTGCTTCTCCCTCTGCCCTCCCCCCACCCTCGCTCGCTCTCTCTCAAATAAAATCTTAAACACACACACACTATAAGAGCTCAAAGGCACAAGTTCTCAGTACAGACTTGACATTAGCAAGGAGACACAGGGAAAGCAGGCTGTTTTTGTTCGTTTCTACTGACCCTGGACACCTGTGCGGCAGTATCACCTCGAGTCCCCAGAAAGATCATGGCCAGCGCTGATGAAATGCTTAAGGGAGAGATGAAGATGTTCCCAGTAGGATTGTCCTTATTCAAAGCGCGGAACAGGTCCATGGCGAAATGGGTGTTGGCTGTGCTCAGCTGCTCCATGGTGAAGGCTACAACACAGAACAGAGGCCCCGAGCTGCCCACTGCCCGCACCAGCAAACGAGGCAACCCACATGTCCCCATCTCTTCCTCAGCTGCTGCCAGCCACCCTTGAACACCCTGAAACATCCTAGAACTTGTACTCTCTCTGCCTCTCTTTTCAGGGGGGCAAGACACTTCCCATGCACACGAATGTGGGACTAGGAATGACTGGCCAGGGTTTAGCAGGGACACAGGACCACATCCTAAAGGGCTCTGACCTCGCAGGGGGGTCCACACTGAGCCTCCCCTGCTAAATTTAGGAGCACACGACTTTCTGTGCGCCTTTGGTTTAAGTCTATGATTCATCTGGGCAATGAATCCATTGTCCATATTTACCTGAAATAGGAATGTTTCTACTAGAAAATCATAACTACCTACCTAGGCACTAAAGCAAATTCCACTAAAGTGAATGCAGTTGTCCTCATTATTGAGATTCAGTCTAACCCTTCCCAAAGTTAAGAGTCCCAAGTCTCTCTAGCTAGTGTTGGATGTGAGAGCTTAAAAACCCAACGCAGGTCCCAGGGTTAGGTCCGGGCAGCCCGACAGGGAGAAGGTGACAGCATCCTCTCGGTCACCCCTGCAACAGTTAAGTGCACCTGGCCTTCCATCTCAGCTCAGCCACCCCTTACCCCTCGTGACTCCTCCCAGAGCCTTAATTAATGTCCCCACAGAGAGGCCGGTAAGACGACTAGCTGGGCTGGCTACTTAGCGGGTAAGGAATAAGCTACATTATTGTTGCTGATAAATCTCTCTCTCATCTGGCCTCCTTTCCCTTCCTCCAATCGCAGAAAGGAGGAGCGGGCTCCTCCGGCCTGGGCCTGGGCTGCCTGGAAACTGCCACTAACAGCTCAGGCAAGAAGGGAGAACAGGAAGAAAAACATTCTGATCCCGGGCCATACTGATTCCAGGCGCCACGCCCCGAGGGACCTCGGTCCCCCGCAGGCCCGCCCTGCCTAGCGCCCTGGACGCTGTGCCGGGGGATCCGGGGCTCCCGGGGACGCGGGGCGCACGGCGGAGGCGGCGGCGTCCGGGTCGCGAGGCGCGGGGCGGGGGGGGCGGTGGTTGCGCAGGGTAGGGGGGGCGCGCAGGGAGCAGTCCGCGCGCACCGCCCGGGGCTGCGGTGATTTCTCGGCACTCGGGGCTCGGCTCGGCGCCGCCGATGGAGCCCCGGCTGGCCTGTCCCGCCCGGCCCACCTCCCCACTGCGCCCGGGCCCCGCCTTACCGGCTCCGCGCTTGGACGAGCTCCGGGTGGCGCGAGGTGTGGGAAGAAGCGCTGAGGCCCGAGGCCCTTATAGCTGCGGAAAAGGAGTGTCGCCCACGCAGGCCGCGGTCGGGCGGCGGGCAGGGCCTTGGCCCTTCCCCCCAGGACTTCCTGGGAGTCTGGGCTTGGAGGCTTGGCCTCGTGAGGCCGAGGTGAATGGGGGCTCCGCACAGCGTCCTCCTTTCAGCCCCTTTCTGAGTTCTAGGCAAAGTCAGATCCCTGGGAAGGATCTGATGGAATATTTCTTACTAAGATGTGAATGACTGCTATGATTATAGTGTCACCTCTTACAGGGCAAACTAGCCCCTTCGAGTCCCATCTATGTATGATATACTCCAAACTCGGAGGTTGTTTATTTATCTTTTGGTGGGGGAAACTAATTTGGGACTCTTGCATAGGGCACAAAAGGGCCTCCAGAATAAGAGAAAACAAAGTTCCTGCCAAACAACATCCTTGCCGTCACTATCTTTCAGGTACCAAAGTGGACTCCGCTCCAATACTTCCCTCACAGGTGATGACCACACCAGCTGAGTCAAATCACGCACCACACGCCATGATAACTCACATCTGTGAGCAATGAAAGATTGCTTACCCACTAGACGAAAATGTAGACTCACCAGTTTTTCTTCCGGTACTCTTGAAATAGAATGACTGTGGTTGAATAGTAAAGGCAATAACTATTTCTGTGGGTTTTTTGTCTGTTTCTCCCTTTAAAGGTCCAGGTATGTAATTTCACCAAAATTTATGGTGTTCGAGGGTATGAAATAATTCTTAGTCCATGAAACTTCTCCCCTGTTTTTTTTTTTTTAATCTCAACATGTAAGGGGGGGACAAAGGAAAAAATCCTATTGTTTTATTAGTATGGATAATATAGTGTGAATGGATTAGTGGATTTCTTTCAACTGTGATTACTTATTTATAATGAAAAGGAGCAAAAAAGAGCACAGTAATGAGTAATAAAAAGACTCTCCATAGTTATAAAAAAAAAGCAGCAAGGGTTTAATAACTAGGATTGTAGAGTGCTTTACAGTTTATTAAAATAAAGAAATCAACACTTACGGAAAGCCAATCACAATTAACTTGAAGCGGTTTGATCAAATCTGGTAAACTCTCCACCACTTCTCATAGAGCTAGAGAACTATTCTGTAGCTTCTGCTAAGAGGTCAATGTGAGAAAGTCAAGAGTACAATGCTGCGCTGAAAATGTGTTAAATTAAAATCTGAGACACATAAACCAAAAAAAGAAAAGTGTTCTGAATTTTTATTTTTTTCTCCTGACATTTTGCATTTGTGCTTACCTGGAGTTAGTAATCTGGGTCGAATATAAAATGAAACCATTTCTTAAATCAATACATTTATTGTCTAAGGTCAAGACAAAGTAACTATTCGGCTGAATGACATTGGAGTGTCCTACTTGTGGCTTTAAACTGTGCATGGCCACATCAAAGGTCATACAGAGATACCCTCGCACATGGGTGATGGCACAGCCAGCTTGGACAATGTTTGGCATATCTACTGAACTCAAACGCATGCTTACCCTAACTGTGATCCAGCAATTTCACCCCAGGAATATACCCAAGGAAAATGTGTGTGAGCGTGTGCACCTGGAAATATGTACAAAAATGTTTCTAACAACGTTATTTATATGAGACCCAAATTGGAAACCACCTAAGTGCCCATCAACAGAAGAATGGATAAATTAAAACAACAGAATAATATACAACAATGGAGATGAACTCACTACGGCAATACACAACAACATAGCTGAATCTCACCAACCCACTGTCGAACGAAAGAATGCAGACACAAAAGAGTGTTCTAGTTACGGAAAGTTCAAAAACAGAACTAATTCATGGTGTTTGAAGTCAGGAAAGACATTCTCTCTGGGGAGGGAGGAGTACTGTACTGACTCAATTTTCTTGTTTTCTGTATTCTTGGTGCTCTGGCATTTGGGGCCCTGATCCTGGAGAGACTGCCCCTACCAGGGCTAGCTAATTCCTAGAGATAGTGAGTGATGCCCCTGATAGTGAAACTGTGGCATACAAACCAACCAGCTCGGTGACTATACTCTTGACTATCTTTTATACCAAACTCTCACACCTCAAGCCAGTACTCACACTGCCCTAAATCACCCCAGGGCCAGGTACCAAACAGCTAGAGACCATCTGAAGAGCCCAGCAAAATTATTTCAACTACCCAATCGTAAGTTTTCTTAGTATGCCTACCTTGCCTTGCCCATTCCTTCCTGCAAGAACCCCAGTAAAGGCTCTAGGCCATGCTCCGCCCTCTTGCCTTCTGCCTGGGGTGGTCCCCAGGTCCTGCATGGTCTGGCATGGTGTGGCGTGGTTTGCCTTTTACTTCTAGGGTTCTGTGAGTATAAACCTCCTTCATGACTACCATGTCCATGTCAGCAGTCCTACCACAACTGACAAAAACACATCCCTGCTTCATTTTTAACACAAGGGCGAGAGTGGGAGCAGCATGGGGTGGGGAGGGCTCTGGGGTACTGATAATGTGGCATTTCTTGACATGGGTAGTGGTTACACAGATGTATTCATTTTGCGATAATGCACTGAGTTGTACACATAATTTTTGTGCTTTTCTGCGTGTCTGTTATACTTTAATAAAAGTTATTAAAAAGTAGCAAAAAAAATGTTGAATGCTAGTGATTATCTTTTTTCCCGTCTCCCCTTTCTCCCCTGCCACAGGATCAATCAACTTGAAACCAGCTGGTATATCATCCAGCATGTCCACCCCCTAACTGTGTCAGCAGCTTGTGCCCAAGAGACCCAGATGAGCTGGTGAGCCCCATGCCCTTCCTGCTCTCCCACATCCAGCAACGCATAACTCCGAATCCAGGTGAGAAGCCCTTCCCATCTATCCCTGCATGTGAGCACACACCAACCACTGGCTCAAGGGGCACAATAAAGGAGATGCAGTATAATTTTTCAAAGACCCACAGCCAGATTTATAAAACCCAGGAGAAAAATATCAAAGCAGCACCAGTAGGTGTTTGAGAACTAATTGTGTTTGTTGTTGATTTCTGGGTTAACTGTACTGTGGTTAGAGAACGTGAACTCTATATTGCTGTCATCTTTAGAAGTGTTTTCAGACTTGCTTTGTGGTCCACCTTATGGTCAACTTTTGTAAATTCTCCTGTGTATCAGAAGAAAAGATATATCCAAAATCCATGGGGGCAGTGTTCTATATATGTGGCCATTTGGATAAGGGCAATTAATCATTTTATTCAGCTCTCTGTTTAGATCTACCAAGCATATGTAGCAAGACAATAACTAAACATCATTATTTCCATGGACTAGCAACAGATGGAAAATGAAATGAAAAGAAAGATGCCACTTAAAGTAGCATCAAAAAAATCAAGCAAGTGGAAATATATCCAGCAAGATATATAAAAAAACCTCTCTACAGCAAGCTCTTAAACATTATTAAGAGAAGTTTTTAGAAATCTAAATCTAGATTTTAGAAATCTAATCTAAATGAAGCAATATATCATGTTCATTGAGTGGAAGTCACTATTGTAAGGATGGCTGTTTACCTCTAATTGAGTTTTTAAATCAATCCCAATCCCAATCAGTATTCCAAAGGAAGTGTGTGCGTGTGTGCGCGCACACGCGCGCACACACACACACACACACACACGCACATGAAACTAGGCAAGCTGATTATAAAATTTGCACGGTATTGAAAATGATCAAAACATTCTTTTTTATTGTGTTATTTATTATTGATCAAAACACTCTTGAAGGAGAACAAAGCAAGAGGACATGTTCCACTATATATCAAAACTTATAAAGCTATAGTAATTAAAATAGCATGGTGTTGGTGCAGGGAGAGACGACAAGTCAATGCAATAGAATGGAGGGTCCAGGAACAGACCTATGCTTATACTGACCCTTGATATATGACAAAAGTGGCAAGGTGCCAATGGAGAAAGGATAGAATACTTAATAAGTGGTAGAGACAATTGAATATCTATATGCAAAAAGTAAAGAGAGAGGTGTGGGGCAGGGTGCCTGGCTGGCTCAGTCAGTAGAGCATGAAACTCTTGACCTTGGGGTTGTGAATTCGAGCCCCATGTTGGGTATTGAGATTACTTAAAAATAAAAATCTTGAGAGAGAGAGAAAGACAAAAAAATCCTTACCTTACATTATACCAAAATTTCAATTCCATGGATATTTAAGATCTATGAAAAGCAACGTGAAAAATAAAACTACATAAACTTTTAGAAGAAAATGTAGGAGATGTTTCCATGAGTTTTCAAAGAAGACAAAGAAAGCATTTCGTATAAAGGAAGCAATTAATAAATCTAACTACTTTAAAAATAAGAATTTCTGTTTATTACAAAGACACCATTAAGAGTTAAAAACATGAGTCACACAGTTGGATGAGAACTGAATGGCACATGATGGACAAAGACTGTTATCATGTGTGCGTGCATGTATATAGCTTATACACATCACATTAAAAACTTAAAAAAGGGCAAACAATTTGAATAAACACTTCAAAAGAGAAAATCCAAATGGCTTATAATGTATGAAAAGGTGTTAAGTATAAATTTTAATGAGATACCTTATACTCACACTGGCAAAAACTTAAAATTCTGGCAATTCCAAGTGTTGACAGATGCAGAGCCACTGGCATTCTCTCACTCCTTGGGGGGATTATGAACTGGTAAAACCACTTTGGAAAATAATTCAGTGTTATTTAAGAATGTTGCCCAGCAATTCTTCCTTCTTCTAGAGAAATGTTCACATTTACATCAAAGACACATACAAGAGGGGCGCCTGGGTGGCTCAGGTCATGATCTTGAGATCCTGGGATTGAGCCCTGCATTGGGTTCCCAGCTCAGTGGGGAGCCTGCTTCTCCCTCTTCCCCTGCTGGTGAGCTCTTGCTCTCTCTCTCTCTGGCATAAATAAAATCTTAAAAAATAAAAAAGACATGTACAAGCATGTTCAAGGTAGCTTTATTGGTGAACTGCAAAGATCAATAGTAGAAGAATGGATACATGAACTGTGATATATCCATTCAGTGGAATACTATGTAG